CACAAAACCAATAAATGCCTCTTGAGCTGGAAGTGGGGAAGCATTAATAACTTTCTATATAAAATCTGTAAGTAAAACGGTTGATAGTGCTGTGAATGTACCCCTCTTCTAGGAGCCCCTCTCAACAGCAGAAACATCACAAAACAATAAGCAACAAAGGAAAGTTCTTTGCAGTATTATGCACAATACACTACTAAAACAGGGTGATAACAACATCAAACATTTTAAGGCTAGCATCTGCTACCACTAAAATTGCCCACTCAATACTAATCCAGTGCCTCGTGTGTGTGTGTGTGTGTGTGTGTGTGTGTGTGTGTGTGTGTGTGTGTGTGTGTGTGTGTGTGTGTGTGTGTGTGTGTGTGTGTGTAAGGAAACATCATTTAAATGAATTATTATATAACATTTCCCCCTCTCAACTTCTGAAAAGCTGACAATAGGGTAATGGGAAAAGTTGACAACCTTTTGCTCCTAGTGGTGTATAGGACAATGCCTGGTAGGTGTGCGCAGGAATGTGAAAGTGGTGCCATTTAGGTATAATGGCCAGTGGCTGGAAAGCTTAAGGTGAAAGAATTAGCTAAAATGAATATTATCAATTAGGGGCAATAGACATGGAGGGTCAGGGATGGGCATAAAAGCTTGATAATGGGCACTTACAGAAAGTGGTGGGAGAAAGGGCACTGGAGAAAAGATTATTGAGTCATTTTAACAGTGCTGTGATTGTCAGCTCCTGGTGAAGCCTATTTAATAATTGAAAAGACTTAAACACTTTCTTTCCAGTGCCAGAATTTCTGGGGAAGGTAAAATAAAAAAAGATACAGATACAGTCTAGTTACCACGTGTACTTTTTCAACTGACATAGATGTTACTAAGCAGGTGAAGATGCTATAATCTCAGCATTAAAACTATATGTTTTATGCATTCTTATAGCTGGTATTAACTCTGCCGAACTGATGGAAGATAAAATCATCTCTTTGATTGATGCTGGAGTAGCCATAAACTGTGCTTACCCTCTCATTCTTCGTCCAGAGAGGAAAGTGAAGTTAATCCTCTCCTTTGACTATAGCTCTGGAGATCCTTTTAAGGTAGCTTTTACCATCACTGCAGTGTTGCTGTAGTTTTATTCTGAAGGTCTATTATGCCAGATGAACACAGAACAAAACTTTTTTCTTTACCTTGAGGAAGGATAATACAACAAAACGATGAGATGCTTAAGAAATTATTTTTTCTTTCACTGGTAAAGAACAGTTTGAGAGCTGAATACTTTACAAGAACTAACCCAATGCGGATAGGTTAGTCCATAGAATTATATAACAAATAGACGTATGCAACCAGGGCACATCTACATGTGTCCCTATGGTGCTGTTGTTACTGTGCCATCATTTAGTACTTCTTTTTGCAAGTACTAAATGATGGCACAGAAACAGCCATTACTGCACTGTGCTGGCGGCGCATGTTTATTTTTATTCTCGTATATTGCCATAGTGATGCACTACACCAAGGGAGCATGTCAGTACAGCAACATAGCTATAGTGTCACGGTTTGTCTCTCCTGATACTACACTGCCATAGTGCATTGCTGCAGCAACATAGCGTCATGTGTAGATGCACCCACTACATAGTAATTTGACCACCATTATAATGTTCACTAGTGATCACCAACAATACCAAGCTTATTTTCTGTAGTTGGTAACAGCTGTAGGTCCATATTTTCAAATGTACAAAAGAAAATTCACGTCTTTTGGTATAAATAGGAGCCCAGTACTTGACTTCAAACGGTGTTTTGACAGTTTTCCCTCATGATCATATCAACAGTAGCAAAGATCTGTTTCACACCTTGTCTGAACAGTGGAACATTGGGTGGCACTAAGCTCAGTCATGATGCACGCTACAGAAAACCACTTCTACTGAACCACTACCAAAGACTTCTCCTAACTTCTGAGTAGATCAGACATCAGCAATGAATCCTTCTGCTCTGTGCTGGCACTTGGGGGTCAATGCTGTACCATGTTTTATCAGTCCTTAACCCCAGCGACAGATTTTCAAAGAAGCCTGTGAGAGTTAGGGTCCCAAATGTTACTGAAATTCCCGGGGAGGTAAAGTCATAGTTCTTTAGATTCATGTTAGATTTCTTTATGTAGATAATTGTTGATTGTTACAAAAAGAAGGCTGCTATCCTTTTTTTTTTTCCTATCCAAGAGGAGGATGCATAATTCCTGCTTAGGCAATCAATCAGAAACATCATAAAGGGAGCTAGACTTACATTTTTAAATATCTAAAGCCCTGATTATTTAACTTGATGGGAACTGTGGTCCTGCTAAACATCCTAGTCATATTTTTCTCATTCAGACACTCAAGCAAGCTGTGGAATACTGCAGACAAAACAGCATCCCATTTCCTGAGGTAGATGAGAATCTGCTCCGGGACGAGAATAACCCCTCTGATGTCTACATCTTTAGAGGGGAGAATGCCCCCACTGTCATGCACTTCCCCCTCTTCAACACAGTGAACGTTCCAGGTAAACCTCCTTTTCTGTTATTGACCTGCTCATCATTTACCTTGACTTCAACACAATTATGTATGGTTCTCACTGGGAAAGCCAGGAATTAAATATAGAAGCTCTCAATGAAAGATCCAGTCTCTGATGCACTTGGGCTAGCTACTGACATTCAAAAGGCCCCAGGCTGAATCAAACCTATGTGGTTTTCTGTAAACAGCATAGTTTACATTGGTAACAAACAAAACATACACACCCTTTGATGGGCGGTGGGTGACACATCTTAGACCGTGTTCTGCCATTTTAAAACCAGTCTATGGCTAAGTACAGATAGTCAAAAAGCCCATGGCTAAATTGATTCAGTCTTTGCAGATTAGTGTAAACTGCAAAGATTTAACTGAGAAAAAATGGATATGCATTTACCTTTGATTCACGATATGAAGTCACGTGCCTGCAGTGGCTCAAGCCAGCCGCCAGGGGGTGCTAGAACATGGTTCTCTGGCAGTTCTTCCTGCTGCCCCTGAGGTCTCTGGGATTTGCAGTCTAGAATCACAGAATCAGAACTATGCAGGGTTTCTCATCACTTCCTCTTCCTGCTTCCAGATGCCTCTGGGACTTGTAGTCCACAGGAGCAGCCCACAGTAACTTTCAGCAAGTTTAACAGGGCAGGGCAACTCTGTACTTTGGGGAAAAGGGGTTTAGCCACCCCTCCCTGGCCCCAGACCCCAGCCAGGGTTTGCCTGGGGGAAGAAGTCCCTGCCTCTCTTCCCCCCTTCCCCCAACCCTTTTCTGCTAGAGCAGACACCACAGCCCAGCCTAGGGCTTGAAAACATGCTGGGATGCTGGGGGACTGTGATTTAACTTGAACCAGGAAAGGGTCTGGGACAGAAGCTTCATAAACTGGTTTAACCCAAATCAGTTAAGTCTGATACTACAGTCAACCAGGTTCATCTTAAACCACTTGAAGCCATTTTGAAACTTATGTGCACTGAACTTCTGTTCTGTTACAGGTTTAAACCAGTTTCTGATCACTTAAACTGGTTTGTTTGTAACATCTGTCCCTAGCCCAAGTGTGTTGAACTTCTGTTATGGGTATAGACTGGTTTCCAATCACTTGTAAAAGTGGGATAAATATAAAAAGATAAAAGTGGAATGTCTGTACATGGCCTTGGAGCACTGCAGTGTGTGTGGAAGATATGATGCAAGAAACTTAAGGAAAAAAATTAGAAGCAATCACAGAGCTGACAGTTATGGATGTTAAGCTATAACAGACTGGAAGTCTGACAAGGTTATAATAATAAATTGTAATCATAACAGCTCTCACTGACATTAGTCATAACAATAGTAAAAACCTCTTTTTAATAACTTAAATGTTTTTATTTTCCTTTGGTTATAGGCCATGTCACAGACTCAAGATTTAAATTCAGTCCTGTTCGTTTTGTGTACAATAAGGAAGACTTCAGTAAATTGCTCCAGGCTGCCAAATTAAATGTGTCAAACAATAAAGACAAGATCTTACAGGAGATAAGACATGTCATGGCTTCCTCTAACAGGAGTAATTTATATTCTCTGTAATTCTCTACAGGAAATCTTTGTACAGCTGCAAATTTCACTTGTGCTACTAGATATTATATGTGACATCTGGATTTAAATACTAGGTTATGTGGTTCCACTGGACTACAAAATATTAAAGGAGATTATACTGCAGCCAAATATGTCATCAGGAAAATACGTAGAAAGAAGATGTATGTGTGCACAGTCATTTATCTCACTTACAAGCAAGCATTCACAATCAGTAACCTAGAAGATGTGGTTGAACGTAGATATTCAAAGAGGTTCTGCTCATTAGCACTATAGATACTCTTGAAAATTTAGCGAAATATTAACTATGCTAGTGATAAACCTGAGATTACTCCTTCAAAAGTAATGCCTTTCTTTTCTAAAAGTATCTGAGACCATGTTCTAGACTGCTGTTCATAACAACCTTTGTTTTTATGAATTTTCTTGTTCGTTCGTACCTCAGTGTTCTTTGACTGTCTCTGACAACATACTGCAAATATTTTTGCACATTTAATCCATTAAGTCCATGCCATTGTTTCCATTGTACACTGTGGGTGCATCTACAGGAGGTGCTATGTCACCATAGGAACAAGCTACAGCAACATAGCTTGTCACTACAGTAATTTAGTGTTGCCGGGCATAAACCCTGATGCCAATACTACATCGCTGTAGCTCATTGCTATGGCAACATAGTGTCTAAAACTACCAGTGTGCCACTGGGACTGCATAGTAGCGGTGGGTACTGTGCCATGATTTACAGTACTGCAGTCAGGAGCATGTGTAGATGCACCCTGTATTACTGAGTCACAGAATAACCTGCCATAGTACAAGTACCTAATGTAAGAAGCAAGGTGATCTCCCCCAGTTCCTAAAACAGTACAGGGACTATGACAAATGGAGGTTAGAGAATTAAGAAAAAAATAATTTGTACACGATAATCAGGAGAGTAGGATTATTATATAGAATGACTTTGATAAACAGGATAAGTCGTCTGAAATGAATCAAATGAAATTCATTAGGTTCAAGTGCAAAGTCCTGGAAAACTTGCATGCACAAATACAATAATTTGCCAGGTTGTATTTGATGCATTACAGAAAGGGAGCTGGGTATCGTAGCAGACCATAGGAATAAAGGCTTATGAATAAAGGCTAAAAGAGCTCAAATGATTTAGTCTGCAGAAGAGAAGACCGAAGGGTGATTTGACCAGTCAATGTCCTGCCCCTGCAAAGACAAGAAATAATTTGTTAAAATGCACTCAAACTATCCATGGTAGTGGATCCCTTACCCCACAACAGAGGAAGGCAAAACCCCCGATAGACCATCTGAATTAGACCATGGGATAAAATTACCTCCTTATCTTTTATATGGCAGAGGAGCAAGACCTTGAGGCAGGAACTGCTGAGTTTTCTAAATTCTAACAGGAGCATCAGCACACCACAGTGAAAATCCCCAAATTTGCCTGTATAAATCTGTGCGTTAAATTTGAATCTTTTTAGCTTGCATTATAGTAGCTTTAGTCATTTTTGCCTGCATTAATTTAAGTTAGGCCAAGTTAGCATAAACCTCCTCTCCTTCAATCTGCTATTGCACATTTCTTCCTCTATCAGGTGTTTTAAAAGTAAGAGAAAATTCTGTTTTGAGCACAGGGCATTTCCCTCCTGGGGCACAGTGAAGTTCTCCTTTACTGTCTACCAGTAATAGGGATCCCAGACAGCCCCATGGTGAAGAGCTCCCTCAAGCTAATTTTACTCCCTTCTCAAACCCAACTGCCATCAATTGATATTGCTATTGCCAGTCCCTCTGTACCCAGTTAAAACAAAATTCTATAAATTAATCACACAACCTACTTCCTTAAACTTGCACAGAACCAAATATGATAAAAAGATAAATGACAACAAAATACAGATACTGCATTACATGAAATATATATTGAGATAGACTCTGATCCTATTTGTACTTAACAAAGCTGTACAGTCTTATAGCTTAGTGTCCTTTAAATCCCCCAAATCCTAAAAGTCCTGAAAGGAGGCTGACCTGCCAAGAGGATCTTACCACAAGTAGAGACTGAGATCTAAGAGGGGAAGGATTCATAAAAGATGTGCAAATGGGAACCTCAGCACAGGATGCCAGAGGAAACCACCCTTGACCTCTGGCCCCCTTTTTCTTCCCCTTCAGACTAGCATCTTACAAAATTACCTGATTCAAAACCTGAACCAAATATGGTCATGAAAACACTCCATTAGCCAAGATGGCACTCATGGACCTAATCCCTTTATCAGGATTAAATATTCTGAGACTGGATAAATTTTGTCCAGTATTTGACATTGGTAAACTTAGTTGTACTTTTTCACACAAATATAGGTAATATAACCAATGCTAACTACCAGTCTGTAAGGCCTACTATAAACACTATACTATTGGTAACAATGAATAATGAGCCAGGTCTGGATCATGGGGTTGGATTTGAATCAGGGACAATAGAATTTCTTGAGCTTTGGTCTGGGTCACAGCAGCTCCTGTGGCTGTGTCCAATTTGGTGGGGATCCAGCTGGCCGCTAAGCTCCATACTTTGACCCAACTTTGGTCATTTTATCAGCCGTCTCATTTTCAATCCAAAATCATTACAATTTGTTGTGAGCTTTTACCTTTTTGACCAAAGGAGGCTTTGACAATTTCAATGTAGTTCCTCCAATCAGCATATTTCTTAGATGTACTGTCTGTGGAAGTAAAGCCGTTGTTTTGCCCAAAAGGCAAGAACTGGGTAAGGAAGGACCAATCCAATCAGAATCTGAAAAGATCACAAGTTGGGCATCTGGATCCTAATTCTGACCAGTTGAAACACAGTATTCCAGAGCACAGGCAACTGCTGCCAATTCAGCATGCTGAACTGAATGTGGAAGACAGGACTGGAAAACTTCAACAGCTTGTTCAACCCACAGAGATGCCCCCACAAAACTGCCAAATCTGTTGTACCTTCTTCCTTGCTCACAAAAGCTGGAACCATACAGAAAAATTTCCTCAATTGACATCTGAGCTCTGAGGAAAAGACAGAAAGATAGTATTTTGGGGGAACCTGCAGTTTCCAAATGGACACTCTGGAAGAAGCCCATCATACGGCAAGGCCACAGGTAACACTGGTGTGCTGTGAACCACTTCAAGAGTGAATGCCTGCTTTTCCAAATGACACTCCTGACCATTCCAAGTTGCTATAAACAGCCTCAGTAGGAATTGGGAGAAAATAAAGTGCAAAGTTCAAATGAAAATAAACTGAAAACTCCAAATTCTGAACAAAGAATTATTGCAAACTGAGCAATGAAATGCTTCACTGCTCAAAATCAAAGCAGGAGATGTTTAGTTCATAATCGCTCAAGCCCTTTTGAAAATACTGCCATCAGTAGGAAGGCAGTGGGCTGGACCGTCCACTCCAGATCTGATTGTCCAGATCTAGGTCAAGGGCACTCCATTAAAAGCCAGAAAGCTGAGCAGGTGAAAGCTGGAGCAATGTAGCAGTGGGTCAGCAGGGGAAGGTGAGGGCTGCAGTGGGGGTTGAGCTGCGTAAACTTTTGGGGGAAAACAGCATGGGAGGATCCAGGCCAGCTGGAACCTGTGGGAGAAGAGGCAGAGTCAAGGCTTGCTCAGGGTAGGGCACAGGCCAGGGCAGAAGAAACCGATGTGGGTGGGAAGGAGGTGGGTCTTTGCCCCTCTGCTCACACCCATGGACCAACCACGGGGTAAAGGAGAGTCTCCCCAGCAGAGAGAAGTATGTGGCTCTCACATTTGGCTCAGTGGGACCTTTCTGTCCCCAGCAGGCCTGACCTGGGCTAGAAGCTTGGATCCCCAAACCCCAGAGCGACTCCCTGGCAATAGGGTTTCAGGCCCAGATGCAGGTGATGAGGCACCAACCTAGGAGACAGGCAGTCCATCCACAACACAAGGACCCTGTCAGAGAGGCAGGGTGGGTCATCCTGACTGGCCTGGAGGCAGGAGGAATCCCAATCCTTGTCCAGGCTGGAGGAGGGGCAGCCCCCCAGAGCTGTGGTCTGCTGGGGTGTGGAGGGGAACACTCATCTTTTCACTGCTCCCCATCCTCTCCTTCTCCTCTCTGCTGTGGTGTCAGCACTGGGGGTGGGATGCAGAGACACTGGTCAGTGGGCTCACACCACGGACACCCCAAACCCCTGGGATCCTGCCCTTCCCACTACCCCATGTGCTGGACTCCCCTCTCCCCAGTGTTGCCTCCATGCCAGGGACTGACTCTGGACTGAGGGGACGTGGTGGAGCTAAGGAATTCAGTGTCACCTGTTCTTACCTTGGCAACATGAGTATTTGAGGTCCTGCAAGTGAAGCAGCAGCCTTGCCTAGCTCTGCCTCACCTGGCTCCTGTGATAGCCTCTCCAAATACTCTTTATACAGCCCACCAGGGTGCCAAAGAGGGCAAGAGCTATTGACCGAAGATTGTCATCGTCTTGTGGCCGAGAAACCCCAGTGTGGTCACAACCCAACCTTTCTGTCATGGGCCTGGCACAGCTTCTGGCAGCAGCCATTTTTTTTCCAGCCTGCCAGGTGACCTGCCAGGAAGGTGGGCTCTGACAGATCCTGCTCCAAGTGGGCTGCCTCAGAGCCAGGGCACTCAGTAGAGTTTGGGGAGCAGCAGCATGCCCCATTCCCTGAGTGTGCTGTCACTGGGGGCTCTGATTCTGAATCCCAACAAAACCAAATCCCACAGCCCCTGTGGTCGCTTATGTCTGCCCAGCTCTGCTTCTGACTCAGGAGAATCAACACAGCAGAGAACAGCCCCAGAGCCCTACAGAGACCCATGACCCTAGCTGCAGCTTCACCCAGTCTCCTGAGAGTCCCTCCTTGTCTCCAAGGACCCATCTGTCATCCCGTTTTTGTCACTTGATTTCCCTCCTGAAAACTCACCTCCTCCACAGAACTTAAAATCTTCCAGGTTGGACTGGAACAAGGGGCAGCAAGTGTGTCTCCCACCTCTGAAATGGCCCTGAAACAAGAGCACTGGAATGGGGGCGGGGAGTGCTGCTCTCTCACATGGTTGAAGAAGGGTCTGATGTGTGTGCTCACGTCCAAACCCAGGGCCCCTGCATCTGTATGTAGGAGATTTAGGACTTGGGGCAGTGCATTAATGCCCTCCTGCATGAGCTGGTTACTGCATGGCACAAATGATGCCTGAAACAGTATTTACAGAACCGTCTTCTGGTGTTTTTTCAGCTGTACCAAAAGAAGACGTGACACACTCTGGAGATAGCCAGTCCACACAGGGCACTAGGGCCCAGGTAGAGAGACAGGATGGGTCATCCAGATTGGCCTAGATGAAGGAGGCACCCCAATCATCATCTGGACTGTGGTCTGCTGGGGTGCTGGGGGGATACTCACCTTCTTGCTGCTTCCTACCTTCTCCTCCCCTCTGCTGCAGTGTCAGCAATGAGGATAAGAGGCAGAGACCTTGGTCAGTGGGTTCACCTCGTGGACACCTCAAATCCCTTGGCACCTGCCACTCCCACCACCCCATGCCCTGGTCTCCACTCTCTCCACCACTTCCTCCCTGCTAGGAACTGGCCTCGGGGACCATGCCATACCCCATCCCTGCCTCCCTCAATGTTCCTGGGCTTAGGGCTGGTTCCTGGGAGTAGTCTAGATATACACAGGAGGGGGGCTTCCAGCACAGAGAGCCCAGGCTTGTGGAGCCTCTGCTCAAACATAGAAACTGAGGGCACTTGAGGGAGTTGTTGAAGGCAAGGGACCTACTGAAGACACCCTAGTCATTTCCCCTTTGCTCACCTATTCCTTTCCAAAGCCTCCAGAGCTGAAAAGAAACCCAATGGTCCTGGCCCTCAACCTTTCCTTCTAACCTGCTAGACGCTTCTCAGGACCAGGCATGGAGTACTGGCTCCAGTCCTCCCTCAGCTTCCCTCACACAGATCCCAGGGCTCACAAGCTAACACTAGAGAAAGCATCATACCTTTCCCCCTGTCCTGTCCAATTTCAACCATGATGAGCCTTGGTCTGTGAGCTTACCTCCATCCATGGCAGGGGTTCACCCTGGCACCCCACCTCAGCTAGGCAGAGAGCTCAGGTCTAGGTGCTGGTGTCTTCATACCAGGGGTCCTCTGCCTGTGTCCTGGCCTTGCTAGTGAGAGGCATGTTGGTCTGGATCTCTGTGTGGTGATGGAGCCATGCTTCCTTCCCCTGGGGTCGGCATCTGCTCCTGATTTCACAAGAAGCAACTGGTGACAGACAGACCGTGGACTGAATTCAACCCAAACAGCCCCTTGGAAGGAAGAACTCCCCTGCCTCCAAACACCACTGCCCCCAACATCTCCAGCCTGCCCTGAACATGGCACACTGCACATGTGACACCCCAGTGTCCCCAGCACCAGTCTGGTCCCCCACTACCCTGTGGGACCTCCTCCTCCTCCTCTCCCTGTTCCCCACTGACCCCCACAGGGCTGGCCAGACGTCTCGGGCCATCCCAACCTGATCCATGGGCTGTGCTTACAAATAAAAAAAAATGAATGCCATTGAGGATGAAATCCACCCTCCTGCTCCACTGTACCAGAGCTGGCCCCCGGTGGTAGGCTGAGAGGGACACCAACAAAGGAATGTAGTTAGGTCAGTGCAGCACTGACCCCCAACTCAAACACCAAACAACATACCCCACGGGTAACATAAAGGGACACCCCAGCATCAAAACACACAGCAGTGTGAGCACACCCTCCCACAAGCATCGGGAAAGCAACACACTCCCAAATTCCTCTTCAGGGGCTTTCCAGAGTGGGGGCACAGACTTACCCTTTCCACACACATGCACACACATACCCTCATGACCTCCCTCCCACCACCGGGGTACAGGAACATAGTGGAAATCATCTCTGTACTGCCATTCTCCTTAGCAGGGGTTCTTAGGAGCAATGGCTCCTCCTCATTGTCCTGCTCATCCTCAACTTCCCCCCAAACTGCCCTCCCAGATGGTCCACATGCAATTGCATACAGCCTGTCAGTGCCTGCTCAGGCCTGCACAGTATGTGTCAGGACCCGGCTGGGTTACCCTTTGGAATTACTCCCTTCCTGGCTCCCTTCCCCATCCCTGGCCTCCTCCCCAAGGGCTCATAGCTCTGCTGTCTCTGCCCCACACACTCTCCAACAGTTTCCCCTGCCTCTGCCAGCCACTGCGGAGACAAAAAGCATTTCACAGCTCAGAAACAGATGGAGATGTCTCAGAAATCCGCCATCTCCCTGAGTAGACCTGAATGGCCAGCTCCTCACTCAGCCCCAGATGGACGGAGAAAGAAGAGACCAGGACACTATGTCCTGGTGTGCACAGGACCCCCAGTGACCCCTCCCACCAGCCTCTTGGGGCTTCATACAGTCTTGGAGCAATCCCTGCCCCTCATGCTGCTTGAGCACAGGATCTGGAGGCCCAGAGTTGATGAGGGACTGACAGAGGAGACAACGGCTTGCTACAGGGCACTAGCACCCTGTGGGATGAGCATCATGTGCCATCCTGACCTGCGTGGAGGCAGAAGGGGCCCTGATCATCACCCAGTTCCCATCCACCACAGATCCCAGGGCTCACAGCCTAACAGTACAAAAAGCACCATACCTCTCCCCCTGTCCTGCTCCTTTTTGATGACAGCAAGCCTTTGTCTGGATGTTTGCCTCTGTCTTTGCCGGGGATTCACCCTGGCACCCTAACTTAGCCAGGCAAAGTACCTTGGTCTGGGTGTTGGTGTGTTCATGTCAGGGGCCCTCTGCCTGGGTCCTAGCTTCTCTTTTAAGGGGCACATTGGTTTCAGTCCCTGTGTCATGGTGGTACCCTGCCTTCTTCCCCTGGGGGGCAGCTACTGCTCCTGATTTAACAAGAACAAACTGATCAGAGATGGGTCCTGGACTGAATTCAACTGAACTGTCCCCAAGGAAGGAAGAATTCCCTTACCTTGAAAAAGCATCAATCCTTACACCCCTACAGTCCCCAGAGCCAGCAGGCTAAGCAGGAGATCCCCACCCCCCACCCCTGATACACTCAGCACCTGTCAGGCACCCCACAAACCCTTGCAGGACCACCTCCTCCTTCTCCCTCTGTGTCCCATGTACCCCTGCAGATCTAGCCAGCACTCCCCAGCCTCTCCATCCCAGTCCATGGGGTGCTATGGCAAATAAGAGAGTGAAATGTCTTTGACCATGAAATCCACCCTCCTGCCCCTCTGTCCCAGAGCTGGACCCTGGGGAGAGGGAGGGAGACACCAACCCAGGGAGCAGGCAAAGTCAGTGCAGCTCAGACCCTCCACCCCAACACCACACAACACACTGCACATCACACTGAACAGCACTAAGCAAACACACCCTCCTACAAAGCCTCAGGAAGGCATTAGCTTCCCCAACCCCATTCAAGGGCCTTCCAGGGTTGGGGCACAGCCTTGCCATTTCCTCCCCACCCCCCGCCCCAGAAACCCTTGTCCTAGGGCAAAGAAACATAGAGGAGCTCTTCTCTGCATTGTACTTCTCCCTGGCTAGGGTCCTGAGAAGCAATAGCTCCTCTTCCCCCTGCCCAAACAGGTCTCCCAGGATGATCTTCATGAGATATGTGTAGCCTGGGTAGTACCCAATTATGTACTCCCCTCTCCAATTGAAGGGAATGTTAGCAAAGCAGGTGCACTGTGGGGTGAAACTCCTGGCTGCACGTAGTTTCCCTCCTTCCCTATAGAGCCAGATCGAGACACTTAGTAACTTAATTATGTACAAATTTATTATTATACATATAAAAAGGGTTAAAATAGAACAAATATACAAAGGACCTGGGAAGTATGTGCAACACACACACACACACACACCCCTCTATGCTAATACTCTGGGTGCAGGTAAAGGATCTGGGAAATGAAGTGTCTCCGTAAACATCATGCAATCTTAGACTCTAGTGAAATACTAATCTACAGAGCATGAGGTGCAAGGTTCACAAAATATGAGCCACAGAAATGTCAGATGAAAAAGCTAGATCTCTAAAGGAAAAAAAGAACAGCCCTTGTTGTCCTGGGATAGTGGCAATGCCCCAAAGGTAAGGAGCAGGAGAAGATCCCCAGGGCCCTCCAAGCTCCCCGCTACCGAGCTTGAATAGCCCACACAGAGGAACGCTCAAACCCCTGGAAGTCCTTTCCCTTTGGGGTTTTCCCTCCAGCTGCTAGCCCCACCTGACAGGGAGAATCCCTCCTCCCATGTAAATCCCCCTCCCCAGGGCAACTAACAACTCTCTGGGAACAATGATGTTGCACTGGTTTCCTCAGATGAGACATTTCCTCCCTCAGCAGGGAAGTCCCCAGCTGCTCATAGCTCTCTCCAGACTGGGTCCTCTATAGACCTTGTGCACCGATGGCCCTTCTATGCTGCATGTCCGGCCTTGTGCCAGGGGTTGGAGACCCAAGCTGCCTTGTGCAGTGCCAGGGTCTCAGTCTGCTCCTGGACTCTCTGTGCACTGCCTGTGCACTGTGTTTCTGGCCTTGTGCTAGGGATTAGAGACCCAAGCTGCCTTGAGCAGCTCCTGGATCTCAGTCCACTCCCAGGCCCTCTGTGGCCACCCCCAGGCCCTCAGTTGGCTGTGCACCAACTGCCTGACCTTGTGTTAGGGGTTGGAGACCCAAGCCGCCTTGTGCAGCTTCCAAAGTCTTGGTTCTTGTCAGACACTCTGTGTACTGGCCGTGCACTGCTCGCCATGCTCCCTCGTGGTCTGGCGGCCCCTGCCACTTTGCCACTCCCTACCTGATAAGGAGGCTTCAGGCCCTTCTGGAGCAACAGTTCCACCCCACTGGCCAGCTCTGCCAGCTCTTCTCAGCTCTCTTCTCTGTCCCTTGACACAGACACCCATGTGCTGGACATGCTGCCCTTTCTTTCTCTTCTGGAGCTCCGCCCCAGATTGAAAATGGACCAATCAAAAGAGAAGGGGGGTTAATCCCCTCTCAGGTCCAACTCTTTGCCTTGCCCCTGGGTAGGGGTGAGGCAAACCTCTCCCCTGCCATCGCCTGATTGGTGAGAACACCCCACCAATCTCTCGGAGCCTTTCTGAGCTGGCAAGCTGGGCTGCTGCTGGCAAATGGCCACATCCGCACAAAGTCTGTCCCTACATGCCCAAACCTGCATGAGTGTGTCAGGACCATGCTGAGTTACCCTCTGGCATTGCTCCCTCTCTGGCTGACTTCCCTGTCCTGTCCCCAGCCTCCTCCCCATGAGCCCCAGAGCTCTGCTGCCCCTGCCCCACACACACTCACCAACAACTTCTCCTGCCTCTGCTGGGCACTGCAGAGACAAAAGCAGTTCATGGAGCTGTCTCAGAAATCCACCCCTTCCCTATGAGATGTGAACGGCCTGCTCCCTACTCAGCCCCAGACATAGGGAGGTAGAAGGCCCCAGAACACTATCCCCTGCTGTAATCAGGATCCCACCAGCCTCCTAGTGCTCAACATAGACTGTGGGCAAGGCCCTCCCACATGTGTCCACCCCAATGCCTGTGCACAGGGTGCTGGGGCTCAGAGACAATGGAGGGTCTGCCCAGGACACAAATGCTTGGCACAGATAGATACCTTTGTGGGTCATCCTGACCAGAAGGCAGAAGGGTCCCCTGATCATAACCCAGTTCACCTCCAGCACTGATCCAGGTGCTCACAAACTAACATTACGGAAAGTACCATAACTTTACCCTAGTCCTGCTCTTTTTAGACCTTGGCAAGTTCTGGTCTGTGTGCTGGCCTCCTTTTTTAGCAGGGCTTCATCCCAGTTTCCCACCTCAGCCAGACAGAGGGGCAATCTGGGTGTTGGTGCTGTCATGCTAGAGGCCCTCTGTTTGTGTGCTAGCCTCTACAGTAAGCAGCATACTGACCTGGGTCCCAGTGTGGTGGTGGGACCCTGCCTCTTTCCCCTGGAGGGAGCTACTGCTCCTGAATGCACAAAAAGGAAGTGGTCAGAAATGGATCCTGGACTGCATTCATCCCCACCATCATCAGGAAATAAAGAACCTGCAAACAGCACCACTCACAATACCCTGTAGCCTGCCCCAGAGCCTGAAAGCTACCCAGGAGACCCTCACCCTCCCTGTCGTCCACTTACCTCTCAAGGGCTGGCCAGCACTCCTGAACCCTCCCCTGCAGATTCATGGGAGGCTGTTGCAAATGCAGGGGTATAGTCTTTCCCTGTACAGATACAGGCACACACATACTTACCTGCCCCCCTGGGGCAGGGACATGCAGTATGGCTCACCTCTGTGGGGCAGTCATCCAGAGCCTGTCCCTGCTTCCTCTTGGCCTTGAGGGCCAGCAGCAGGAAATAAATGGGTTTTGAGCGCCTTCACTTGGGCCTGCATGGGAATCACCCCAGCATGTCAGAGCCTGCCCATGCCTGAACCAAGTGTATTGGGCCTCTGCACCCAACAGCTTTACCTCCATGGGCACACATCAAGGCCTACTTCCCCAAATTCAGTATGTCAGGAGTCTGTTCCTGGCTTCCACATCATCTGGGATTTCACCCTACTTGGCTAAGCTTGGATTCAGCCTGTTCCCTCCCCTGCCCTATGGTCCTGCCAGCCTCTGCCACATGCAAACTCACCAGGAGCTGCTCCTCCCTTTGCCATACATTGTGGAGATAAAGAACATTTCCAGGCTCAGAGAGACTGAACATGACATCCCAGAAAACACCCCTTCCCAATGAGAGACTTGTACAGAAGCAGCGTCTCCTTCTAAGGAAATCAGCACCTAGGAGGAGGTTGTGAAGGCTCAGGCAAGTGGCTCAGGTGAGTCAGATCCTCCTGCTGTTGTGCCTCAGCCTGCTGAGGAGGGGGATAAGACAGGATCCCCACCCTTAACCCAGAAGCAGGGAGTAGTGCAGTGTGGGATCATTTTGAGGTGGCAAATGATCCCAGGTTTGCTATCTGCCAGCATTGCTGAAGGCAGATTAGCCAGGGCAAGGAAGTGAAACACTTCACCACCACAGCGATGCTGCTGCATCTCAGGAGGCAGCACCTCCTTGCCCTTCTTCCTGCTCAGCTTGGCACCAGTTTGAGCAAACCCAAAAGGAAGTCTCCAACTTGCTCCAAAGCCTCTGCCCCCCCAAAGCAGAGGCAGGCCACCCTGCAGCATTGGGGGAAAGCTGCAGCCAAAGGAGGGTGAACTCTCAAGGCAAGCAAGATCACCCAGAGCATTGGGGTGATGCTTGCTCTGGATAGCCAGCCCTTCTCCTTAGTTGAGCAGCCAGCGTTCAGGTGGCTCATGGAGCTTATGGCTGCATCTTACCAAGTTCCCACATGCACAACCTTTAGCAGGACAGTGGTACCCTCCCTGTATGAGGCATGCAGGGAGAACTCGAGGGAGGAGCTGTGCAAGACAGGGCTGCAGGTAGCCTTGCACTTCATCCCCAACATCTGGAGTAGCTGGGGTGGCAATCATGCCTACCTCTCCCACACAGGGCACTGGTGCGATCAGTCAGGCCATTGGTGGGCTCTCTTCCAATCCGAGGTGCTTGGATGAGTCCCACATGGCAAGGGAGATCATGGTGGGCACAAACCTCATGGTACAGGGGTGGCTTGTTGGGCAGGGTGAGCTCAACCGTGGGTTCATGGTCACCGACAATGGAGACAATATGATCATGGCCATCCATGAAGCGAACTTTGTTGGCATCTGCTGTATGGCACGCAGGCTGCACCCCATAGTCAAAGATGCCTTGGAGGGGGACAGGGCTGCCAATGATGGTGCCGCCACTACCACCACTAGCCAACTGATTCAAAAATGCAGGAAGGTGGCGGGCTACTTCCACTGAAGCATCAAGCGAGGCAAGATGCTGTGGAAGAAACAGGCAGAGCAACCCATAACACAAAATCATTCAGGATGTGAAGACCTGGTGGAAATCCAGATAGACTGGAAAGACTGATGGAGCAACAGAATACCATCCATGAGATGGCCTTGGTTGGGGAGATCATGATCAGCGGCCCCCTGAACACAACTGAGTGCAGTAACAACTCACAGATCTTGGTGGTCCTCAAGCCCTTCCTCAAGACCACCAAGACCCTCAGTGCTGCTGATACCCTCCTTAGCCCCACAGTGAGGGAACTGGAGAACCAAATGGACAAGTTTCAGGGGATCAGTTGTTCCTGGATGGGGCAAGCTACTGTCACCAGACATGCAGGCACTGGTGAGGTGGCTGAAGGAGGGCATCAGGAGACAGCTGGATCCCTTGAGGTCCAGTATGGTCAACTTTTCAGAGCCAGGCCTATGAACTTCACTTCATCAACCTCCTAGGTACAGAAACTCATGTACTCAGTATAGACAGTGAAATTCTGACACACTGCATCCTGTGGAACATCTCACTACCCAGGTACCTCTGTACGTTTACCTGCTCTACTACGTCCTCCTCCCCCCCACCCCAGCCTGTCCCTCACCCCCTGACACCTCCATTTCCATTTTCACTGACTGGCTTTCTTGCCTGCATTGCATGACAGGCCAGCCTCTGGCTTCCTTACTATTTCTTCCAGCCAGGACCAGAAGACACACAGACCAAAGACAGGTGCTTCCTCAGCCTGACAAAGGGGTTTTCAACCCAAAAGCTTGCTAAGATATATGTTGCTAACTATACAGTTGGTATACTAAAAGATACTAGGTTGTCTTACCTGTTGCCATTTAAAGTGGTGAACCTGGATGAGGCTGTAGTGGAGGAGGAGGCCTCATTGTGGCACATTACTGTGTTGTGTAGAGGCCCCAGCACCAGTGAGAGGGCACCTTAACACACACACAGTGGCATCCACCCATGTCATGAGTTTTGCCTGTCAGAAGTCTGAAGTGCAGGAACCCAGAACCCCCTGTACCTATCTCCTTGAATGCTGGCGGGCTTCGTGGCTACATCAGGCCCTAGCAAGCCTGAGATTTTCACCCCGCTGTGTACTAATTTTGAGGAACTGAAGGATACTCACCTGGGAAGCTCCCCTAGCCAGGAACACAGACCTCCACGCTGCGGCAGGAGCTCCCGGTTTGCCCCAGCCCAGTGTTATCACCTTGGCAGGTGAGGTGGACTGGTGCAAATCCACAGCCAGGGCAATATCCAAGGGCCAGGGGCAGAGCCAGGGGCAAAGAAGAGACAAGGATGGTCGAGGACAGCGAGGATGGAGGCTGGGAGTGCTTGACACTATGCCAACATCTCAGGAGCAGGGTAAGTTCCCGATCAGACTCTGAAGGTGTTGAGGAACCCTTGCTAAAAGAGTGAAGAAGAAGGGGAAAAGAAGAAGAAGAAGAAAGTAAGAGAGAGAGAAAACAGTAGGAGAGACAAAGAAGGCAGATGCTCCTGAGCCGTTGGCCCGTTTTTTTTCACTTGTTTGGGAGCGCTGATTAATCGCCACAGGTCGCCAATTGAGACAGGCATGGCTGCGGCAAGAAGAGAAAAGAGATGGAGAAGGAGAGATTCTCTTAAAAAGAAGGGAATGAAACCCTGCTTCTCCAAGAGTGCCGCAGCTCAGGACCCAAGGGAGAAGTAAGCCAAGGCTGGCTAAGGAAAGAGGGCAGGGAAGGTAACGTCCTCCGACATCCCACTGTTTTTTTGTTGTTGATGTATTTTGGCTTGTTAAATGGCTACACACTGCCAATTAAGCCTGGTGTGGCCAGAATCAGCCTGGAGGGGAAAGGGATCTCCCCAGTCCACGGGGAAGTGTGGGGAAGCCGATGCCAGGAGAGGCCTTGAATAAATCCAAAGGACAACCGGGACCCCATCCTCTGAAAATTAAATCCAATAGATGTCTTAACCATTAAAAAAAAAAAAAAAAAAAGGAGAGAAAGGAATCTTTTCAGACTAATCATTTAGTCTGTTCCTCTGTTTGTGGCCTCAGGAACCAGAGCGGGAACCGATGGTCAGTCATGGTGGAGGCGGG